TACCCAGCGGGTCAATCGACTGTGCATCGTTTTATTGCCATGATTTGCCGAAAGTGCTGATAGTAAAGCTTTATGGTCAGTGACTATTTGGAATTCTGTTCCGTACAGGTAGTTTCTGAAATGTTCTGTAGCCCATACGACTCCCAGTAACTCTAGTTCGTTGGTGGAATATTTCATTTCATGGTTGTTTAAAAATCTGGATGCAAATGCGATTGTTTTCCACTGGTCGTCTTGTAATTGTTCTAGGGTAGCCCCTAGTCCGCTATGTGAAGCGTCCGTTTTTAGTCTTGTCTTCTCTTTTATATCAAAGTGGCTGTTTTCTGCAATATTTACAATTTCGGTTTTTAACTTCTCAAACGCTATTGAATGGCTGGTATCCCATTTGTATAGCGATTTTTTGTTTAGAAGAGGTCGAAGAGGGGAGCTTAAAGTGGATAAATTGGGGACGAATTTTACATATTGGTTTATTGAGCCGAAAAATGAGCGAAGTTCAGAAATATTCTTCGGGGTTGGCAAATTTTTTATAGCGTCGGCTTTACCGACCAACGGTCGTACTCCATTACCTGAGATCTTGAAGCCAAGCCATTCGATGTCAGATTTAAAAAATGCGCATTTCCCCCATTTCACTGCCATGTTGTTCTTATCTAAGATTGATAAAATTTTGTGCACTATTGCTTTATGTTCTTCCAGCGATCCGCGCGAGGCTACCAGGATGTCGTCTATGTAACAATTTGTAAACGGGATATTTTTCAACATTGAGTCCATGACCCGTTGGAATTCATTGGGCATGTCTCCTAATCCGTAAAATCCAGTTAGAAACCGATACGTTCCAGTCGTTTCGCCGCCTACTATGCTAAAATTGCACTGTTTACTGGTTTGATTGCAAAGTCGAAGTTGGCTATATGCGTTTTTCAGGTCTAAGTTACTAAACCACACTCGCCCGTTGGGTTTTTCTGAAATTTGGAGTGTCACGTTATCAATCAGTTCGTGTATATTCGGCATTTGATACTTATTTTTAAAAATTTGATCATTTAAAAGCTTGGAATCCAGTGCCAGTTTTATTGAAGAATCCTTTTTCCGAGTGATTACAATTGGACTGATGAAGCAATCTTCGTCGCATTTCTCTAATTTTATTATGTGACCTTCTTTTTCCATTCTTTTTAATTCGTCGTTCACTGCCGCGAGTAAATGGAGTGGTACTCTTCTCCCTTTGGACTGTATTGGTTTAAAAGGTGTGTGAAAATGGGTTACCTTCCGATCGTTAGGTATTTTCCCCACTCTAGTGAATAAGTCCTTAAACTCGTTAAAAATGTTGTCTGATAAGGAAGGTAAGTTTTTGTACTCACTCTCAAGTGTGAGTTGATTGACCATGCAGATTGGTTGCGGGCATTTCCTCTGCGAAATTTCTATGCCCAGTTTGGGTAGATTGTCGTTCCCCAATATGTTACGCTCGTGTCCGCCGGTTATGAAGAATGGGGTTTCTTCGCTGATCCACCCATTGGACTGTGTTCTGACAATTATTTTTCCCAAGATATTGATCGTATCGTTGGTGAATCCGCAGTATAGGTCTTTTATTCTTTTCTCCACTGGGTGTATCTTAAGGTTTGGGTATCTTAGTTTAATTTCATGTAGAACATTCTGTTTTAAAAAGCTTACAGGACTTGCTGAATCTACCGGTATGTTCATATTTACAATCATGTCCCAGCCAATGCCTAGGTTCAGGAGTTTCTTTGTTTCAAGACCATTATTGTCGTAAATAGTTCTGACACTCAACACCGAGAAGTCGTCATCGTCACTCTGTCCGTACTCATTCCACGCATTTATCACGTCGCACGATTCTTTTTCTTCCATCCACGAGTTTTCCGGAGGTGTGTATGTACAATTCTCAGTATTTACGAAATTATTTGATACATTATTTACAGTTGGTCTCTTATTGCGTGATTTACATAATTTGGCGAAGTGTCCCTTATAGTTGCAGTTTTTACATGTTATGTCCTTCGCTGGGCAAACATTTAAGTGCCCTTTCGTAAATGTATTTCCGCACTTCATGCATGAGTTACTCCTTTCGATGTTTAAGCTTGGTTCTTTTTTGATATGATTGTGGTTACTAAACGATTTAAAAGTTGTCCCGTTGGTCGATGACCGTGACATATTTGTCAGTTTCTGGTGGTTAAAATATCCCTTTTCATCGATTAGGGCTTGATTAAGTGCTTCCGACGGGCTTATGGTAGCTGAAAGTAGCTTCCTCTGGGTGTCTGTGTTCTTCATATTGCAAATGAAGATATCCCTTATCCATTCTGCCTCGTCGGATTCCTTGATGTTGCACGTGCTGGCTAGGTCCGTCAGTGCTCCCCAGAATTGTTCGTACGACTCACGATCTTTTTGTTTTCGATTTAGAAGTTTATATCTTTCGAATGTAGTATTGGGCGGTTTGTTAAATGCTGCGTCTAGTAGAGTCCAGAACTCAGAGAACGATATTGCTAAAATCTTGACTCTCGGGTTCTTTTGTGTAAAAACTCTTTTTCCTTCGCTCCCTAGGGCTAAAAATAAAATTGATCGCAGTTTCTTGTCCGCCTCCGTTCGTCTCATTCCATTAAATTTTCTTTTCTCTTCGTTGATCCGTTCCTCTTCTGCGGATTCGTACTGTTTCATTGTGCTTTTGTTCCTGCTCTCTCTGTTGGCTTTTTCCGCGTCCGACTCGCTGCCTGTCGCCTGTTCCAAAATTGGAATTTGCGTCTCCGGTATCTCTGGTCCATGTAGGCTCTCTAAATCCAGATTTTCTTTCGCTATGATCGCCAATTGGAATTGGTCGCTCCATTGGGTCTAGGCATGCGGTGGCTCTAGGGTGTGATTAGGCCAAAAGGGGGGAATTCCACGCACGTTCGAATCATTTGACTGCGCCATAATAAACTATTCTAATTCTAGTGTCTATGTACAAGGTATGTACATAAGCTTAAGTGTTAAAACGTTAAAAGGAAGTAGTTGAATTAAGACGTTAAAAAGGACAACTGAACTTCCGTTCATATCGACCAATGGTCGTAGCTAAACTGGTATTAATTAAAATACCGAAGGTCATTATAACAAACTAAAACAAATCACAACAGCCGGATGTTAGTTTAATTGAGCGAACGATTATTTTATTTTGCTAAGTAGTTTTTCCCAAGAAGAAAGCTATTTTCCGTTTTTCTAACGGTTGCCAATTGCAAACAGAAAAAAGGAACTGATTGCTGTGCATTAAGTACAAAGGTTTGACAGCTAACTTTTCGCAAAAAAATCTGTTGATTACGTCTGGTGTCTAATTCTGCATGAAAATTTAAATGTGATGGTAGTGATGTCCCTTCGAGAATTAAAAATCAAATTTTGAAAAAAAATCGGCTGCAATTAAAAAACTTTTTCATTACAATTAAATGCACATCACAATTTCGAGTTTACCCCTAATTACCTTTTAGCACTAGCCTTTATTCATAGGAAAACGATACGTGTTGCAAAATTGATGTGTTGCAAGTTTTCCTCTAAGGAAAAACAATTTTGTAATGAAAATTATAAGCCACTGTAAATGGTAAAATTGCAGTGTTATCTCTAAAGGGCCACACGTTTTTTCAGACATTTTTTGTCTCGTTACTGCAAGCACGAAGCACGTATTAACCCGATGGCATTGTTCTGGTGATTTCTTTTGAAACTGATACAATACATTAATCATCTGGAGTTTTTACATTCACATAACTTCATCAGGTTTTCCTTCTAATGTTTGATTTCTCAATTCCTGTTGATAAAAACAGATGTTATGAAAATGCATGGGATCGGTTCTTTTTGTGGACGTCCTTGAAAATTTTTTTGTTTTTCTCAAAAATTTTAGTTGTTCTCAAAAACAACTCTACCAATTTTCATAAAAGTAGTACCAATTTGGCCCACTTCCCTGTATGCCTGCATAATCCAATAGGCTTATACAGTTTACTCAACTTTCTACAGTCTTCGAAAAAGTCTGTGGGGAAATTTTATTAACATTATTAAGATTATTATTAATATTTTTATGATTATTATTATTATAGAGATTTTACAATCACAAATATTGACGGAAATGACCCCGGAGTTCATAAACAAGCAAGTCTGGGATAAGTCTGTCGGCAATTGGCACAGAGACAGGCAATGAGCCAACTGCACGCATTGACTTCGTTGTAGTGGCGGTAGAAGTAACGCATCAAGAGCTTGATAAGTCTGCGTTTCAGTCCCATGAAATTGTTCAGATTCAGAGTTAGAGCAACTAGGATTAAGAGCTGGGGTTAGAGACTGAGATAGGATCTGAGGTTTGAACTGAGGATTGAGAAGAGGTAGTGATTGTTGAAGAGTGAATTGAAAGAAGTGAATATAAATGACATGACAAATTAAACATCAAAAAAGTACCAGATAATTAAGTACTGACTAATTACTTAGTTTGAGATCACTAGTTGACTTTTTCTGAATTGAATCAGTTTTGATTACGATTCAGTTAATCTGTCTGACCTTGAGATGGTCTGACCTCAACACCCCCACTCAGGCTGAATTGGCTTTGTCCAACGTCAGGCTGCAACCCATCAAGGTTCGACGATGCTGTTCCACCTTAGCCTTGCTCAGGGCTTTTGTCAATAAGTCGGCTTCCATGAACTCAGTAGGACAATATTGGATTTCAACTGTCTCATCTTCCGCTCGTTCTCGAACAAAGTATTATTTCACATCCATGTGTTTCGTTCGCTTCGGCATCACCGGATTCTTGCACATCTTGATACAGCTCTGGTTGTCCTCCTTGGTGACAGTTGGTCCGTCAGTAATTACGCTTATCTTATCGAGACGTAATCGCATATATAGAGCCTCTTGAACCGCTGCTGCCATTGCTTGGTACTCAGCCTCACTGGTAGATATGGCTGCAGTTGGTTGCTTCTTGGTGCTCCAACTAATTGCTGCCCTGCCTTCTGCAAATGAAAACTGTAGCCAGTAGTTGAACTTCTATCATCCAAATCTCCAGCCTAGTCAGCATCTGCGGGTCCATATAGTTTTACACCACCAGCTTCCTTAGTGTACCACAGCTCCAGATCTTTGCTCCCCTTCAGGTAACGAGTCACAGTAGCTAGGTTATCAGGCCTTGTTTGCTTAGCTATGTACAAGAATGAGCCCACAATGCCTCTGTAGTCCTCAGCCTTCATGGATACTGCCTCTGCTGACCCAGCTTCAAGGTAGCCCTTCTTCGACAATTGTGCGCTGATGTCCGCTGGTGTGCCCACTGGTTTGCACTCAGCAAGGCCAAATTGCTCCAAGCAATCGTAGATGTAATGAGATTGATATACTGTTACCGTCCCAGGTGACTGCTTGACCTGGATTCCCAGGAACCAGTACAATGTGCCCCTGTCATCGATCTTGAATCGTTCGGAGAAACGGCTCCTCAGCTTGTCAACTTCGTCTTGACATCTGCACCCAATGATGATTCCATCTACCCAAACCAGCACATAAATCATTGCATCGTTTGTTCCCCTCATCGTGAGGAAACAGAAGTCGTTGCTGCTTCTAGTAAACCCTTCATCAGGTAGGAAAAGGCTCAGCGTCCGATACTAGTCTCTTCCTGCCTGCCGCAGCCCATCGAGACTTCGTTGTAGCAAGCACACTTAGCTGCTACCGCTGCTGAACCCCTCTGGCTGCTCCATGTACAGTGTCTCTGCTAGAGGAGAGTTGAGGAAGGCTGACTTAACATACCTCTGATGAAGTAAAAGATCATTTTGTGCCCCCAGAGCCAGCAGTATCCTCTTTGTTTTGGGTTTACAGGTTGGAGCAAACGTCTCATTGAAGTCAAGTCCTTCCACTTGCTTGAACCTTTTCACTAGATATCGGGCTTTGAACCGCTCCATTTGTCGCATCGCATCTCTCTTTACAGCAAGAACCCATCTTCCAGGAATAACTTTTCGAGATTGTGGTCTATCAACAAGTGTCCATGTTCCCAAGACTTCTAGAGACTTCGCCTTCAAAGCCATAACTGCCAGCCACTGCTCCTTTTTGGGTCCAGACACTGATTCTGAATAGACCCTTGGCTCCTGAATTCTAGTCACTGAAGCGTGGGTATAGGCCAGTCCGTATCGAATGGGTGGGTTCCTTGTCCTAACGGACCTCTGCACTGGATGATCAGTAGAAGTGTATCTACTGCTTCCTCCTCGACCAAATTTTCCTCAGTAGCCCCCAGTGAATCTGCAGTATCACCCTCAGTTGACGCGCTTTGTGCTTTTCTGGTTTTCGTCATGCTTGGTTGCTCAAAATCAATGCACTCCTCGATTGATAGCTCCACGGTTTGTAATGGCTCACTGTCAACCATGAAGTCATCGGGAATGATGTTCTCATTGAATGTCACGCTTCTTGCTCGCAACACTCGTCTTGTCTCTAGATCCCTCGGCAGGTAGGCTTTGCTCTCCTCGTCGTAGCCGATGAACTTGCTTTTTTTGCACTTTGGATCCTGTTTTGTCTGTTGCCTCGATCCAGACAGTACGCCAGGCAACCGAACACACGAAAATTGCTCACTTTCGATGGTTTCCACAGCCAGCCGACTGAATTCGTCGATTGAAGTTCAAAGCATAGCGTGCACTATGAGTACTCGGTACTTCAAATGTTCCCGGTACTTCAAGACCCGTTGCCCCACTGCCGATGCTCTGCTGTCAGTCTTCTTAGGCACTGGTACTTCATGCATCTTAGAAGCTGTACACCTTCGCAGAGCTCTAGCTCGCACACATGGACAAGCGATGAAATATCCTACTGGTTGAGGTGCCCCGGTCGTCGGTGAAACAACATTGCATCACTGGTATCCCTCCTTGTTTTCGGGTGTCTCTTGAACTTGCAGTCAAGGAAGAAAAGCTTGCCGCGCTGCTTCACAGGTAGCTGTCCCATATCTGGTGCCAGTAGGTCTAACGTATCTGCGGCGAAAGTGAAGCTTGAGCCTCTGGCCATAACTGAGCTCACACTCATCAAGTTCACACTGTAGCTCGGCACAAAAAGCACAATGTGAAAAGTGTAGCTCCTCACAGCATCATGGCAGTTTTTGATCTCCACTTCCACTGATCCTTTGCCCTCAATTTCTGACAGCGTGCCGCTGGGTTCTCCACAGTTGTCCCTTTGTTCCAGCTCTCAAAGCTAGAAAAGACAGCCATGTCGCGCACCACATGATCAATGGATCCCGTATTGAAGTCGCAGCACAACCACTGAAGAACCCTGTCCTCCCCTGCTTGCACTCCCATGCAAAATGTTAAGGTTGCCCACACTTGAAGCACCCTTTCTTCTTTGCTCCTGGCCCACTTGCTTCGTTCGACCCACTGTCTCGAGCCCTGGATTGTCCGCTGTCACTTTTGGCTTTGCAGTCCCTCTCCTTATCACCCTTCTGACCGCACACATAGCAGCCACTACTTGAAACTCCTTACTTCTTCCTCGCAGCTTGCATGGCTGTATGACCATGTCCAGTCCTCTCTCCACATCGAGCCTTCCTCGAGTCATCGTAGTTCCTCAACCTCGTTCTCAGCTCTGAGATAGAATCTGAAACACCTCCAAGTGGGACCACACAGTGTTTTGATTGTCTTCCCTCTGCTGGATTAACACTGCTCGCTCCTGCATCAAGTCCATCGTTGCTTAAGGCTGCTAGCTAAAGCTAAAAACTCTGACAGAAAAATAATACGGGCCTCGTTGCTTAAGGCTGCTATCGTTGCTTAAGGCTGCTAGCTAAAGCTAAAAACTCTGACAGAAAAATAATAAGTCCATCGTTGCTTAAGGCTGCTAGCTAAAGCTAAAAACACTGACAGAAAAAAAATATGAAAAGAAATCTGGGCCTAGAAACTGTTAAGATTCAGAGTTAGACCAACTAGGATGAAGAGCTGGGGTTAGAGACTGAGATGGAATCTGAGGATTGAACTGAGGATTGAGAAGAGCTATTTATTGTTAAAGAATCAATTGAAAGAAGTGAACATAAATGACATGACAAACTAAGCATCAAAAAAGTACCAATTAAATAATTACTGACTAATTGCTTAGTTTGAGATCACTAGTTGACCTTGACTGAGTTTAATCAGTTTAATTACGATTCAATTATTCTGCCTGACGTTGAGATGGTCTAACCTCAACAGAAATTGATCCAGGTTGGTAGGAAAATTGCTAGTCTGGGTGTTCTGTACCGGAAATTGTCGCGGCATTGTTCTTTGAAGATCGATGGCAAGAGGAAAAGCTGACTTTCTGATGATCTCCTTGATCTAGCACTGCTTGAAGGAGAAAAAGTTTCTAAGTGGTTACTCCAGTCGTAGCTGTACTTTGATGAAAGGATATGAAAAAGCATCAATAGGTCGCATAGCTGCAAGTTGAGGGAGAGTGGAAGTATATTCAATTGTTGTGCGCTGTCCGTGTACGGTAGGTCGTAGTCACAAAGTATCCCTTTTGAACATCGGCGCTGATTGCCCTCAAGAACACGCGCATTTGTTTTTGGAGCATACCAGCCGACTAATGAATAAATAAGAACTGGTACCATGATCGATTTAGCTTTTGTTTGGTTGCGAGGGAATCAGCAATCTTTCGCCTTATGAGATGGAATGTTTTCTGAGCTTTGTTGCAGCGAGAACGAATGTTTTCCGTCCATGAAAGATTGTTGCAGATGATGATCCCAAGATCAGACTCTTTTTCTGATTGTTGAAGTTCATGAGGACCAAGCATCAGTAGGGTACTGTGCTCGCTATTGCCAAAAACGAGATGATCACATTTGTCCAAGTTGAAAGGTAACAAATTGCTACGCGACCATTCGAAAAAAAAACGAGCAGATCTTTTTGAGTATCCGATGCGTTTTCAAGGTTAAATAACAACTTGCCATCGTCCGCGAACATGAATGGTTCAGACGAAAGACCGGCTGAGAAATCTAGAACGTAGATCAGGAATAAAAGAGTGAGCCTTGGGGACCCCACTAGTAACAAAGAGTAGGCGCGAGGTAGCATTGTATATAGAGACACACTGTTGATGATTTCAAGAGCTTCCGTAGTCTACCACGGAACCCAATTTTTTTTGCGATTTTGAGAGGAGAACTTGATGGTCTATCTTGTCAAATGCTTTGCTGAAATCGAGATATACGGTGTTGACCGATGTATTTGGAATTTGATATCCATTATATAGAGAGTGCAGGAAAGATAACAGCTGCAGTGCGGCGAGGCGCCTCTGGTTGAAACCGAACTGATTTGGATGGAAGTAAAGCGCGGCAAATGAGTAAAGCTTGTCGAAAATGCGTTTTTCGAAAACTTTGTACAATGTGATCAAGAGCGTGACGGTGCGGTAATTTGAAACAAGCAACCGGTTTTTTTGTTCATCGGTGTGATTTTGCCAATTTTCCACTCATCCCGGAATATACAACTTTATTTTTTTTGTTCATCGGTGGGAGGTTGTCGGGACCTCCAGATATTGTGCTTATAAGGTAAGATTTGATCTTCAGGAAACGGGTCTCTGATATGTCGAAGTCGGATATGTAGCGAATAGAATGCTTGTTTGGCTCGGATAATGATAAAGTCGAACTAATGGAAAAGACATTCTGAAAGTGATCGTTAAAAAGATTTACTAAAACTGCGAGTATCGATGCAAGCTTTTTGTTGAGCTGCAGAGTTGACGGGATGGGGTTTGCCTTCCTTAGTGACGACAATAAATTGTACAAGTGCCTGGTGCCTCGCTTATTGGTAAACATAGTCGCATATGATGCTTGGTCTCGAGACAATTTCAGATAAATTTCAGCTTCCAAGCATTTGACGCGATGTTTAGTTTTTCTCGATCGGTGACCTGATATGTTTTCAGTTTTCCGAGACTGAGGAACACTTTCTTTCAATTTTATTTGCAACCATGTTTTCAATTCGTACAGTAGAGTAAATGATTGGACCAGCAAGTGCCAGTAAACGGACCAGATTCAATCATCTGTACCAGTTAATCATAATCCTTAAAATCATAAAATTTGAAGCTGGTTATGTAGATTTTAGAATAGGTCTCGTTGCATAACTTTAATTTCATCAAGAGTGCAAAGTGATCTGAGCAACGTGTGCCATCAATGCAGTAAGATTCTGTAAGAAGTTCGTCGACTGAAGCATCAAGAAGGACATTTGTATTGTTTATGAAGATTAAGTCCTGAGTTTTTGACGGAGTAGTCTTAAGTTTGATGCATTGGATCACTTCTAAATTGTCTTACAATTCAAGAATTTTTTGTTCGTACAAGTCGGAAGTATGCTGAGTTGACCAGTCTATGCCAGTTAGATTGAAGTCACCGAGGAGAAAGAGAGGCGCTTCCATTCTGCGAGATTTGTCGACCAGTTTTGTTAAAAAGAAGCCCCATTGCTCAGTAGACCAACAATATTGACTGATTGCTGGTGGAATGTACGCCACTGCGACGATAAAAGCACCGTTTTTGTTTTGAACGTGACACGCAAAAACTTCAGTCAATGGTTGATAGGCTAAGTCTCTGTCAGTTTGCGAATGATTCAGAGATCCTCTCCGCTAT